ATTCCTCTGGCTGTCCTGGAGGACTCAAGACCTGCCAAGGGGCTCAGAGACCCTGGCACAGAGCCCAAGACCCCTGTGACTTTGATCTTGACCCATGGAAAAAACAATTACCAACCTTTATATGAAGAATTACAAGTCAAGAAAGTTTAAGTAGAATAATAGTTAGTTTGTCACAGGGTGAAAAATAGATTTTTGGGGTTTTTAGAATGGGGGTTCAGGGGGCAAGATGGAGGAATCTGGGCATGTCCAGCCTTTCTCCTTCTTCTTGGCCTCCATCTTCTGCTGTGATGCTGGCACTTTTGGATTGGTTTAGAGTAGAAGCTCACTGTCTGATATAGGTGATAGGGATTGGGAAGTTATGGTAAATAATGTACACAGAGTTTTTAGTATAAGAAGATAACACCAACCCAAGGCAGGCAGAGTGCCTCTGTCTGCTGAACAGACCTCAGCAGGCCAGAGAAAGAATTTTATAGATAAGAAACAATAAACAACCTTGAGAACAAGAACAGCAGAGTTCTGACTCCTTCTTCAAGTGCCAGGCTGGGAAAAGAGACTCTCTGACACATCTCGGGGTCACTATGAGCAGCATAAGTCCCAAGAAGAAAACACGAGGAGTTTGGCTTCAAGACAGTTCTGCATAAGTTGCTGCAGGTGCCTGGGACTGATGAGCCAAAGGCTGTGACTGCTGGCTGATGATTTCTGGCAGCTTGGCTAATTTTTAGGTGCTCTTTAGGCTTTCTAAGGACTTGCCAGGGCTGCTGGGTGTGAATAGCCCATCAGAGCAATGAAGCAAAACACAGTGGCTCTCTGGCCATCAGCTGCCTTGCACAGGATAAGGGGCAGAGATGAGGATTTCTGCAATAAACCCTTGGATCCAAATGCTGCAGAGGCTGTGGTAATTGTCTGGGAAGGGAGAGACATTCCTTGTGGTTTGACATTTCATGTGTTACCTGTGAACCTGCTGACCTGTAGCTGGCTGAAGCTGCTGAACCAGACTCATCTCTCTGGAATGATGCAACTTTTCCTTTTTTTCTTTCATTTCAGGAGACTTAAAAACTCCTTCAGTTGTAGGTGGAGAAGTGGCAGATGAGGTTGCTTTTCCAGTGATTTGTTGATGGATTTCTTGTTTTATTGCTTGCTGGCTCAGCTAATAAAACAGGCTTTAGATTTAAAATGCAACTGCTGCATTCCCACACGTTGAGGGAGTCATGCAGCATCCATATAAAATTTTCTCCTTCCCTTGGCAGCACTTGCTCTTGTTGGCCATGGCCTGGAGATGGCAGGATTTGGTCAAGACCAGTCTCTGTTGCTGTCCTTGTCCCTTGTGAGGCTCTTTCAGGCTGCTCTGAATGGCACAAACCCACCAGATCCATCATCTGCAGTCCTTGGGGTCATTCAGCCTTATTCAGAGTGGCTGATGATCACAGCCAGCACTTGCAGACAGGACAGTGGAAGGAAAAGACTTCCCTGGGTTTTTTGGGTGGGTTCAGGATGCATCAGAAGGAGGGCACTGGTCAGAGGGGGGGTCCTTTGGAAAAGCCAACTTTGGGAACTCCCAGCTAAGAGCCTTTTGAAATAATAAAGCAATGAGTGAAGCAGATGAAAAACCAGGAAGGTAAAAAGGAAAATTCTGGTGTGGGCTGCTGAGGGAGACTGGGGAAACGTCTCAACATTTCCCTGAGATGAATGACAGTGACAAAATGAGAAGCAAAAAGTCCATTGCAGTTGGAAAAGACACAGAAAGAATGGAAGACTAAGATCTGTGAGAATATGCTTGACAAGCTTGCCACCCAAGAGCTCCCCAAGTGGATTTTGAGCTGGCTGAAGAGAACATCACAAAAGAAACAGAACAGGAAGAGCAAGGTAGTCTAGTCCACACCAAGCTGCCAGGTTTTTATACCTGTGCTTCTTGAAATCCATATTGGAAAAGAGAGGCATCAGAGCAAATGAGCATTTTGTTCATGATGGCCTTTGAGTGTCCAGGAGAAAATAATTACAACTCTGTGCTTGTAGGCTTGTGAAAATCCCTGTCAGTCTTCAGTGAGCCTTGACTGAAGTCTAAAGGTCAGGTCTTCTTCTCTTTCATGTAAAACAGGTGCATTCAGTGCAGTGTGAAGGAGAGATCACCAAGTCAGACAGAGTGATTTGTCTGCAGAAGTTGCTTTGGGCACACAGTGGTTCTTGGCTCAGCTGAGAAAGCCAGGCTGGAGGCAGCTGTGAAGCAAGCAGGCCAGGCAGCATCCCCTCCATGCCCTCTTGGCCAGGTTCTCACAGGACAGGGGGTTTCCATGGGCAGGGGTTCAGACAGGGCTGGCACACCCACTGCAGGCTGGGCCCTGGGGCACTGAATTGTCAGATGTTCCCAAACACTGGTGGAACTGGGGGTTAATGCCCTGCCCTGAGTGCTGCAGGGCCTCCAGGGCGTTTGGGCCACCCAGCTCTGCCCCACCAAAGTTATGGCAACTCTCCTGCTCTGCTTCTTGATTTAACTCCTCTGCTCTCTCTCGTGGGGTTGCCAGCGTTCCTGAACCCCCTGGGAGCTGCAGGTGAGGCTGGAGGTGGCTCCGAAATCCCAGGGCTCCTTCCCTCACCTGGCAGAGCAGAACTCACAGGTGATGGGGTGTGGCTTTCACATTCTCTGAAAAAACCCCTTCACCCAGGGTTTTTCTCCTGGGAAGCTGAGGGGCCTCAGAGAAAAGGAAAACAATTCTGATCTCATTTGCTTCTCCTGTGTTGTTCTCATGTGGAATGTGTTTGGAGATTGTTTACCCACAGGTGATTGTTCCATTGCATTCTGCTGGGAGTTGTTTTCACTCTTTGGCCAATCAGGGTCAAGCTGTGTCAGGACTCTGGAGAGAGCCACGAGTTTTCATTATTATCTTTTTAGCATTCTGTAAGTATCCTTTCTGTATTCTTTAGTATAGTATAGTATTCTTTAATACAATATAGCACAATAAAGTAATAAATTAGCCTTCTGAGAACATGGAGTCAGATGCATCATTCCTCCTTCATCAGGGCACCCTGCAAATACAATACTGGGGAGGTTCCAGAGCAGCAGCTGGCCAGGGTTTGCTGCCTTGTCCCTGTGTGTGGCTGTCCCCTCTCACAGCAGCAGCTGCCACATGCAGCCACTGTCACTGCAGCTGTGCCACCTCTGCCACCTCACAGCCACTCTGCTTTGTTTCCTCCACAGGGGTTTTTACAGCAATTTGTGAAGGGTTTGGTTTTGTCCACTGATTTTTATTATATCAAATTTTAAAAGAAAGTCCTCTTTCTTTTTTTTTAATAGAAGCATTTAAAGTTTGTTTGCCTAAAAGAAATAACCTTTATTTTTATTTTCTTTCCTTTAAAAAAAAATATTCTTTGCTTTTAGCAAACAAAACCCAAAGCCTTTATTTTTTCAGGGTTTATTTTGCATTTGACTAAGCCTCAGTATTTTCTTTGAAGAATAACTTAGCTGAACATTTTTCTAGCCAAAGGAAAATATCTCAATAGAAGCTTCTCGACCTGAGTTTTGCACAAGCCACCTTCAGTCTGTGCAGTTGCCCTTTCCATCCACATGTTGCTCCTGCCATGGTTTGTTTGCTGTTTTGCTGAGCCATCAGAAGTCAGTCTATTTTTTTTTCCTTACAAATACTTCCTTCAGAAGAGATTGTTTTAGACATCTCCTGGGAAGCTGTCTCTCCTGGCTCCCTCTCCCTGGCTGCACTCTTTGCAGTACTCCAGGAAGGAACACCAGCTCCCTTTTTTAGAGTCCTTTATCATGGATCCTTTTATGCCTGGCCCCATATTCTGCAGCTTTTAATGCTTTTTATGGCTATGTCTCTATCACAAAGCTGCTTCCTGATGAGGTATCCTGCTGGGATTTGGGGGATTTGGAAAGCACAAGTTGTCCTGCATGTCCCCATGTATCCTACAGGGATTTGGAAAGCACAGGTTGTCCTGCACACCCCCAGGTATCCTATTGGGATTTGGGGGATTTGGAAAGCACAGGTTGTCCTGCACACCCCCAGGATGTTCCAGTTCCTCACCTGCCTGCAGCATCCTCCACAGTGGAAGGAGGAGCCAGGGGAGGTGGGATGGGGTGTTCATGGTGCCCTGGTGGTTCATGGATCTGGACTTTAAACCATCTGCCAGCCCTCAGCTCCTTCCAGAGCAGCAGGCCTGTTCCCTGGGGGCTCCTGGAGCCCTTCCCCTCTGCCCCCCAGTGTGGTCCATGAGGTGTCCCCTAGCCCCAGAAGGGTGGGATTTGTGGGGTCCCTCATCGTGGGGAGGAAAGATGAATCTGACTCCATGTTCTTAGAAGGCTAATTTATATTATATTATATTATATTATATTATATTATATTATATTATATTATATTATATTATATTATATTATATTATATTATATTATATTACTAAAACTATACTAAAGAATAGAGAAAGGATACAGACAGAAGGTTTAACAAGATACTAATAAAAAACTCATGACTGTCTCATCAGAGTCTGACACAGCTGATGGTCATTAAGTTAAAACAATTGGAACTGGTCATTAAGTTAAAACAATTCACATGAAACCAATGAAACAATTCACCTGTTGGTAAACAATCTCAATACACATTCCAAAGCAGCAAAACACAGGAGAAGCAAATGAGATAATATTGTTTTCCTTTTTCTCCGAGAAGCTTCCCAGGTGAAGAATCCTGGGCAAGGAGATTTCTCAGAGAACACGATGGTGGACATAGGAGCTCTGCTCACAGCCCATGAGCACCCAGGACTCCTGGGCTCTGGCACATTTCCCCATTGCACTCAGTGGCTGAAGATGAACTTGCTCAATAGGGTTGAGCTCACAGCATGGAAAAGCTGCCAGATGTGCGTCCATCTGTCCTCTGCACAGCTGGGGGCCTCCTGCCCCGAGGCTGGTGAGCAGCTGGAGCCTTTGGCAGTGCTGCTGGCTGCAGGAGGCTGTGGCAGAAGGGCCAGCCTGTCCTGAGCAGCCCCTGTGCTTTGTCCTGCAGGCTGACCATCCACGCCGAGTGCCCCATGCACCTGGAGGACTTCCCCATGGACGTGCACGCCTGCCCCCTGAAATTTGGGAGCTGTAAGTACCCCCAGCACCTCTGCAAGGAGGGGCTACAGGGCTGGAGAGCAGTCCTTGGTGTGGCTGGTGTCACACAGAGTTTTAGTAACAATAATATTCATTTTTGCTGATGGTAATGTGACCAAATTGTTTTCTGGTGTCTCATACATGCAATTCATCACTGAGTGAGTCTGTGCTCAATTCAGCTTAAAAACATGGGTTAGACACCCATGGTTTTGCTGTAAATTTATTTAGAAAGTAGCCAGGTGGGAATCAGACTCTTCTGCCAGGTAACAAGTGACAGGATGAGAGGAAATTACCTCAACTTGTGCCAAGAGACATTTAGATTGGATATTAGGAAAAATTTCTTCACTGTAAGGGTGGTCAAGCATTGGAACAGCAGCTCAGGGAGGTGGTGGAGTCACCATCCCTCAAAGTGCTCAAAAAATGTGTATTTTGGGCACTTGGGGACATGGGCTTGGCAGTGCTGGGTTAATGGTTGGACTTGATCATCTGAGAGGTCTTTTCTAACATTAATGATTCTATGATTACAAATCTGAGTTGTGCTTTTCCTTCATCACAAGGGGATGCTGGGATGCTGGAAGATTTGGGACAGCAGTGCTGGCTGCTGCTGGTGTCCCATCCTGCCAGCCTGAGCACCTGGTGCCTCTGGCCCCATGCCCCAGTGGAGCTCACCAAGCCCCTGCTCCTCTTCAGTCTGCCAGGCAGGCTGCTCTCAGGTGAAAGGCTTGGAAGCTCTGGGAATCTCTGCCCCAGCAGCAAAAGATCCTGGTTTAGGGAAGACTTTAGGCTGCTGGTGAGTTGAAAGCTACTCCCAGACTTGCAGCTGCTCAGCTGCTTGGGCTCCCCATAGAAATCCCTTATCTCTCCCATATGCAAGTTAAATTTAATTTGGTTCTGTTCCTAAAGTGAGTGGGAGCCAAACCCCAGGACCCTGGCTCACCATGGTGTGAAATAAACATCCTAGTCTGGCTCTGCCTGGGCTCTTTCCCATGTCCAATGGACTGAGCACCACTTTTAGTCTGTATTTGTGTTAGATGAGGGAGTTTCCCACCTCCAGCTAAAGAATGAGCCCACACCAGTGACCCCCAACCTTCCCAAAGTGACACTTTCTTCCTGTAGCCATTTGGGAGCTAACTGAGGACAAAGTTGAAAAGTTTGATTGGCAGGAGAGGAAATCATATTTATCATGTGCATCTGCTCTTCTGCCTCATGACAAACTGTAGCCATGAAAGTGGATTATTCAGAACTACTGAAATAAAGCTATTTCTTAGGCAGCACCTAATTAAATGTAGAACTCATTGCCACAAGACATCACTAAGGCCTTAGAGAAGGATGAATTATTAATGTTAATTGACCTTGTGAGGAGGGATATCAAATCTCATACCTCAGGCCTAAACTCTGGGATTATTACAAGACTTGCAGGAAGGCAGATTACTGCACATCTAATTGCTTATAATGTTTCTTGGTGAAGAAAAGAGATTAATGTGTGTGTTTCTGCTGGAACACCCTTTGGGCTTATTTTTTTACTGATTTGACCTCTGAATGATGAGAGTTTTGAGACAAGGAGCTCAGAAAGCTGCCCCTGGTTAACATTAATGTGACTTTTTCTAAAGCACTCACAGAGCATCAGAGCTCACCTCTCCTGTGCTGGAGTGGGATTAAACCAGTGATTTCACTAAAAAGCCATTGACAGCTGGAAGCTGCTCATTTTCAAGAAGCCTGAAGTGGGTCAGGTTTGCAATTAGAAGGACAAAGCCAGTGCCAGACCCACACTGCCCAAAGGAATCTCTGTTTGCCTCACAGACCATTTTCTGCTGATCCCCTCAAATGATCAGCAGAGCCCTTCTGTCCCTGGGCCACCAGGGCAGTCCCCTGAGGGGGCAAGCAGGGACTTTGCAGGGGAATCAAGGGCATCAGGCACTCCAGAGAGCTTCAGCTGCCCACCTGCAGCATCCCATGGGCCAGGTGCAGTGAAGGGATGGCTCTGCCCATCCCCTGCTCCCTGAAGATGAATGTGCACTGCAGAGAGCTGTTCCTAAGCCATCACAGGACACTTGTACAGCAGCTATCTGAGACTAGAGGAGCAGGAGATGCTGCTGAATTTACCAGCTCCCCTAAATGTCCGGGAGCTGTCCCTGTTTGGATTGGATTTTGCATTGCAAACGAGGCATTGAGCTGAACCAAAGCAGCTGCCTGGCATTAAACTTGTTCCAAACACCCCTGCCATGCCTGTGTGACATCAGATACCCTTCTGTCCCAGACAACCACACTGCTAGGAGCTATTTTTCCCCATAATGCCCAAAATTCCTGTTCATACCAACTATATATACATACACAGACTTGATATGGACAGGAATTGTGTGTATACATATATATGTACATATGTGTATATATATATATGTATGTATGTATGTATGTAATGTACAGACAACTGAATTATCAGGAATGATGGCACTGAAACTGTGGGCAAGTTCCTTTTCTAGGCTGGGTGTTGCCCTTCAGGTGGAAGAGGAGTGGCAGAGCTGCACAAAGCCCTGAAGGAGGATGGAGAGCTCCAGAAGCTCATGGAGGGCTGGAAGAAGGGTTGGAAAAGCAGAGTGAGAGGTGCCCACCTGCACCACAAGAGCTTAGGCAGCACTCTGGCCTGCTGAGAAACCTTGGCTGATCACCAAAACCTCTCCAAGGCTTTGCACAGCCCTGCTTAATGTGGAGCAGGTTTGCCAAAGCCCAGAGTGCAGCAATAACTGTGGTTGTTTTGGAAAGATCACAGAAATGTATTTTTTCTCAGGACACAATGTTCCACAGAGCAGCAGCTGAGATGTTTCTCCAGTAGATCTGACACATTGCTTGACCTGACCACAGCCAAAGAATTCCTTCAGGTCTTCACCAGGAGAAGGTGGTGGGGAAAAAATGAACTGAAGGCTTGGTTTAGTGGACTTTGTTCTTGCTTAAAAACCTGGTGCAAACTTGGTATGGACAGGAATTTTGGGCATTATGGGGAGAAATAGCTCCCAGCAGTCTGGAGAGACTCAATTTTTGGATAACCATAGGACTGGAAAAGCCAAGAGCACTCTTGAGAGTGGGGCTTGGTTGCAAACACAGGGAAAACGCTGCAGACAGGTAGAGATAATATAAAAGAAGGGCCTTGTAAAATATGGTTTAGGCCCTGCTACTCTAGCTAAGCTAGCAGTAGATTGTAAGTCCCCATAAGGAAAAATAATCAGAATAAAGGCAGTAAACCCAACAGCCTGTTCTAGCAGAAAAATAAGTTTGCACCTGCATAACCAGTAAATCTGTCCCATGAGAGTCAGTGAAGAAAATATGTAAACAATCCCAGAATACAGAGATTTGATGGAAAGGTAAAATACCAGTTATTAACCAATGAATTGGGTGCCAAGAAAACTACAAGTCAATTAGAGTTGAATACAAGGTCTGTAAAGACTATATAAAAATGAGTTATATGAATAAAGAAGGGGCTTTTCCTGCATGAAGAAACTGAGTCCTGGCTGCCTATTTATGCAATAGGTAAAAGCCTTTAGGTGTGAGAGAACACCACCTCCAAATCTCAGAGCCTTGGAGAGGGTTGCCTTTGAGTGAGGGTAAAAACTTGGAACTTTTTAACCTAAAATTTAGCCCCATTTGCATTCAGCCTTTGCTGCCAGCAGGACTGTCCCTGTCCCTGGCATGGCAGGGCTGTGCTGTGCTGCTGGCCTGGATGCTGTCCCTGCTGGAGGCAGCCCTTGCAGAGTCAGCACGTCACAGGGACAGCCTGTCTGTCAGTGACAGAGCTCTGCCCCTCTGCAGCTCCCTTCCAAAAAGCCCAGCTCCCTCCTGCTCCTTTGATTTAACAGTTGTTGATCTGCCTTGGTCTCTGGCCATGCTTGGCTGTGCTCAGCCATGTGGCTCTGAGAGATGCACAGCAAAGATTCATTTGGTTACGGGCTAATTTTGGTATATTTGAGGTCAGGCAGAAGCACAGAGCTCCTTCTTCTCCCTCCTCTGCAGATGCCTACACAAAGACAGAGGTGATCTACACCTGGACCCTGGGGAAGGATAAATCTGTGGAAGTAGCCAAGGGTGGATCTCGCCTGAACCAGTATGACCTGCTGGGCCACGTGGTTGGCACGGAGATGGTTCGATCCAGCACAGGTATTTGTGGGACCACCATGGGCTCAGCTCCTGCTGCATGAGATGGGCTTGGAATCCACGACTTGGGATCATTATAGAGGCAGTCCAGGAGCACAGCACTTCCTAAGGCTGGAGGATACAGCTGGTGACATCTTCAGCAGTCACCAAGAGGCATGAAGAGGTTGTTGTTTCAGTGGTTTCCACTGAAAGTGTCCTGTTGCCCACAGTCCTTAGGAGAATGGATCTCAAGCATCTAAAAATGATCTGCTGTGTGGAAAATTTGCCCCACCTTGTCCTGCTGGTTTGTGCTGCTGAGGGTTCATTTGTCTTGGATTCCTTTCCAGCCCCTCAGGAAAGCACTGCAGGCAGGGGAGGCGAAGGCAACATAATGTTCAGTGTGCTTTTCACTGCATCTGCTTGCACAAATATTATCACAACTAATAGAAGATTATCCCAAACAAATGTTTCCTCTGATTAATGACCAATATTAATCATCTTTCTCTCCCATCTGCTGCTCCTCCCTTCCCCTCTGAATCCAGGTACTGATAGCTTCTGTTACCTCATGTGTGTCTCTCATAATCCTTCTTTTTTCCCTTTTATTTTTTCCTTCTGTATGCACCAGTAGTTCTCTCATTTGAGAATATTTCCTCTCTGGTGCACTTGATTTTAATAGTGTCTGTCTGTAACAACTCATTTCACCTCCCTTGGGGAAATGTGGGGAGCCCAGGGAACTAAATGTCATAATATCTGGCCCATCTCTCTACTTAAGTTGTAGTAAAATATACAGATGAATAACCTGGAGTGGTGAGAAAGCTGCTAAAGGCTCCTGTGTGTAATGATTTAGCAGAGCCACGCTCACAAAGTAAAGGCACAGTAATCCAAGAAAATACCCAAAGGGGAGGAATAGGACGTTGAGAGAAAATAGGGACAGCTTCCTTTCAGTTCACAGGTGGGACCTTTAACAACAGAACTTGCCTGGATTTCTGAGATGGTTACAGTGAGGGAAGGTGGGATATTTTCAGGATTGTCAGAGAAAATAAAATCCGGTGTCCTGCAATCCTATTAAAGCACTGTTAGGGTGTCTCCAGGCTTAAGGGATCTTACCCACAGTGTGGCTCCCTGGGATGGGAGCAGGGTCAGGAGAGACCCCAGGGGCCCCTTGTGCCTGGGGCAAAGCAGTGAAAGACTTTATTGCCCACTTGCTGACACGGCTCACCTTTGTCACACACCTATTTTGTAGCTAATTAAAAGAAGACTCAGAGAAGTGTTTTGAAAGGACAGATGTGATGTGAGAGCCCCCTGGGCTGTGCTGGGGCACACATCTGGCACATGTGTGCCTGCTGCACCCCTGCACCTGGTGAGACCCCATCTTGAGTGCTGTGTGCAGCTCTGGCCCCTCAGTTTGGGAAGGATGTTGAGGTGCTTGAGCACGTCCAGAGGGGGCAACAAGGCTGGTGAGGGGCTGGGAACACAAACCCTGTGAGGAATGTTTGAAGGAGCTGGGGTTGTTTAGCCTGGAGAAGAGGAGGTGACTTTAGAGGTGACCTTATTGCTCTCCACACTTTCCTGAAGGGAGGTTGCAGACAGCTGGGGTTGGTCTCTTCCACCAGGCAGCACTGACAGAACCAGAGGACACAGTCTCAGCTACCTCAGGGAAGGGATAGGCTGGATATCTTGAAGAAATTTTTCACCAAAAGAATAATAAAGTACTGGAATGCTCTTCCCAGGGAGGTGGTAGAATCACCATCTCTGGAAGTGTTTAAAAAAGACTGGACATGGCACTTGGTGCTATAGTTGAGGTGTGAGGGCATAGGCTGGGCTTGATGATCTTAGAGGTCTCTTCCAACCTCATTATTCTGTGACTCTGCACCCCTCCTTCCCACCAAAATCCCACTCAAAAACTGGGAGTTTGTCCAGGGTGGATCTCTGGAGTGGCCAGCTGGCCCTGGGCTGGCTCAGCATCGCTCCCTGGCTGTCTCTGCAGGGGAATACGTCGTCATGACCACGCACTTCCACCTCAAGAGGAAGATTGGGTACTTTGTCATCCAGACCTACCTGCCCTGCATCATGACTGTCATCCTGTCCCAGGTTTCCTTCTGGCTCAACAGGGAGTCCGTTCCTGCCCGCACGGTTTTTGGTGAGTCTGGAGCACAGGGCTTCCCCTCAGCATGGGGTGCTGGGGAAGATGAAACAGGAAAGCCTTATAAATGTGATTGCCTGGCAAAAGATTTTGAGAATATTGAAACTATAAGTGAGATTGAAATGAAAGCAAGCTTTGAGATCCCTCAGTTACTGAACAACTGGAAACAATGGCATGGCCAGCTGAAGGTGATCCCCTTTTGATGGAACAACACCCTCTGCTTGCAGACAGGCCCAAGGCTCAGAGCAGACCCTGCCAGCTTGGCAGAAGGGGCCCAAAGAGGAGTTTTTAGGGTTTAAAATGTAACACAGTATGGTAATGTAGTGATTCTTATAGGCTGTATGGAAATGCTGTAGGATTTGTATATTGTACTAGATTGGTTAGTGAGAATCAGAATATTCAACATAGTAGAAGATTTATGGTATTGGAATGGGAACTTCTCTCTCTTACCTCTTTCATCCTCTCTGTTTTACTCTTTTACTCTCTCTCACCCTCTTTACCACACTCTTGCCTTCTCTCTCTTTCCCTCTCTCTCCTCTCAGTCCTGCTCTGAGCTGTGGCTGGAGCTCCCAGCAGGGCCCTGCACCCAGGCCCTTTGCAATAAATGCAATAACCCACAAGTTCCATGACCTGGCTTCAGAGATCTCTGTCTCTGTCCATCCTGACTGTCCCACCCCTGCCACTCCTACAATGGGGACAAAGGGAAATAGGAAGGGAAACACATTGAGCATCAGGGCTGCTCTGTGCCAGGCCCTGAGCAGCATTTCTAAGCTGCTGGCCATTCCCCAGGATAGCTTTCAGTGTCCTCCCAGTGAGCCTGTTTCCCCCCCAAATCACTGCAAAAATACTCCTGGCCATGGCTCTGCTACAAGCCCAGCCATAAATATTAACAGTAATCAAGGTATTGATCATCTAATTATATGCATTTGGCTGTGTCTGCTTATCTGTGTTGGCTCTGGAGCAGAGCAGAGGAGAGGGACACGGGGAGGCATTTAAAGCCCTACCTTTGAAATTGCTAATGTGCCCCTGGTCACAGCTCCACATAACAAGTTCCTGGGCTGAGGCAGCATAACTGCATGGTGAATATAGTGTTATTATTTCCTTCAGCTGCTTTCAGATCCTCTCACCCAAGCAAAGTGCCAGGCTGGCACTGCACCTATATTAATAGCTTTTACAAGCATTTAATAACAGAATTGCTTTGTGATTTCCTGTCAAGACCTTTAGTTCAGGATCTACACAGGCACGCTCCCAGAGCAGGTGTGATGCTGCAGGATTGTATATCCTGGATGTAACACTGCCCTGCAGATTCTATTTAACAGAGAGGATATTGGACAAAGGTCCCCAAGCAGAGAGGGGATATGTGGTATCATATGTGATTCCCTCCTGTGTTACCCTGAGAATTGCAGTGAAATAAGTTTCCTCAAGCAGCAGCTCAGATAGAGCAGGCAAGAGCTGACTGAAAAATTAAAACCTACCTGTGTGACAAATGTCTTTGCTCCCAAATTGCCTTGCTTTCCTATTAAGAAAATAATGAGAATTCAAATTGTTTATTCCTTTTTTTTCCCTTGCCCCTCAGAAAGTATTGTCAACAATATTGAATTGAAACTCTTAAATTACCAGGAGTATGGCTTAAGGGAACTGAAAATTAGTCAATATTTTTATAATGTTTTTAATGCATTTTTAATTGAAAAGCACATTATTGGGGAAAATGGATGGTAATGGTTGCTTGCTTTAATGAAAAAAGCTTTAAAAGACACTTTGCAACAGATCATTTGTTTAAGATAAATCATTGTGACATTTATTCTGGCAGCTTGGGCCGCTGACAGCAGGACCCAGGATCCCAGGTGTCCATCCATGCAGGTCACAAGACAGTATTTCCAAAACCCTGAGAGCTGTGTTGGATGAGTGACCAGTTTCTGATCCTCCCTGAGGTTCCTGACCATCCAGCTGTTCTTTTCACCGTCATTTTATTATTTTCATTCTGTTGCAAAAGCAACTAGAGGCTTCTCCATGACATATTCTACATGAGCTGGGTGTAGCATCCTGCTCCTCACCCTGCCAGCAGGTGAGGAATGCAGTGCAGGTGCCTCCCTGTGAGCCAGGGCTCTTATGGAGAGCAGAGGTCTAGTCACTGCAGTTTGGGAAAGGTTATGAAGGTCATCTTCATCCTAATGAAGATGTTTGCCATTGATTGTACTCAAAACTGAACCAGAATAATTCCTGAGCCACCTGAAATTTGAGCCACCTGAAACTGGCCCTGAAATTTGAGCCACCTGAAATTTGAGCAGGGGTTGGACAAACTGTTGCCAGAGCAGCTGTGGCTGCCCCATCCCTGGAAGTGCTCAGGGCCGGGCTGGAGGGGACTTTGAGCAATCAGGGACAGTGAAAAGTGTCCCTGCTTGTGGCAGGGGTGGAACCAGGTGCTCTCTAAGGTCCCTTCCAGCCCAGGCTATTGTAAATCAAAGGTGACTCCGACAAAAGGGAGAGAGAATGATGCATCTGACTCCATCATCAGAGGCTAATTAATTACTTTATTATACTATACTGTGTGCATTGTATCTAAACTGAATCTGCCATGCACTCACTCTTGCTCACAACTGCACAGAACTGCCCTCATCTCTGATTGTCTCATGACTGTCCTGTGACAGTCCAACACACACACACACACACACACACACACACCTGGCCTTGATAGGCCAAGGGAACAAAACATCCTCACTTTGGATAAACAATCTCCATATTGCATTCTACCTTAGCACAACACAGGCACAGCAAGCCAGATAAGAATTGTGTTTTCCTTTTTCTCTGCTTCTCTCTGTTCAGAGGGCACGTGAATCCCACACCAGGCCATCCTGTGATTTTTAGGCTCTGTGAACCTGAGTTCAGTTATTCTCTGAGTTGCACTAAGGGCTCGTTCTGGATAATCCTCCCCTACCTACAGCGGGAGGGAGGAGGTGGCTCCTCCTTTCCCACAGAGGGAGCGGCAGCAGTTTTGAGAGGAGCAGGTGCAAGAGCACCATCTCACCCCTGTGATCTCATCCCTGTCCCCCCCAGGTGTCACCACGGTGCTCACCATGACCACACTAAGCATCAGCGCCAGAAACTCCTTGCCCAAGGTGGCGTACGCGACGGCCATGGACTGGTTCATAGCCGTCTGTTACGCCTTCGTGTTTTCTGCGCTGATCGAGTTCGCCACCGTCAACTACTTCACCAAGCGCAGCTGGGCCTGGGATGGCAAGAAGGTGCTGGAGGCCCAGGAGATGAAGGTCAGCCAGGGCTAGGGGAGGCGGGGGGAAGAAGCACTGCCCGAGGGAGCTGTGCCAGCACAGCAGTGGGTAACGTGCAGCCCCGCAGCACTCAGGGGCTGGATGGTACTCACTGCCTGCCCAGCCCAGCTCCTGACTGCAGCGCTTCTTGAGGGCTGGGAGGAATGGCCTGGGGCTGGTCAGGGTGCTGAGCTGGAGGGGAACACCCAGGCATGGCTGCTGGCTCTTCCCTCTGTCCTCTGGATGGCTGTTTGCCAGGGGAACATCTGTGCTTTGGGTTTGCTCCGCTGGTGGTTTTGTGTCTCCTTCCTTTTCTTTCCAACCCAAACCTAACCCTCCCAAACCAATGAACCAACCCAACCCAGCCCTCCAACCCCATTCCTTGTTGCTAGCATGCCAAAAAAACCCCAAACATGCTGCAGGACACCCCCTGAGCCCTGTCCCCTGGCCAGCTCTGACACTGGTGCCATTGCTCACAGCTGCCAGCAGCTGCTGCTCTGTGAGCTGGGCACAGAGGGTGGGTGGGAAGCCAGCAATCCCAAATGCCAACTGGCAGCAGATTAATGCCTGGCATCACCCACATTTCCCCCCCCCTCACTGGGGATCAGCCTCTCTGGCAGCTTCATCCTGACAGGCTCTGCTGCCCCTGCTCGTGCCCCCCTCCCTCTGAACTGATTTAATCTTGGCTGTGCAGAGAAATCGCTTACTGTAGCATGCTGCTCCTTGTTTATATTTATTGAATCAATTTGAAAATCAGCTTTGTCCTTGTTCTTGGTTCTGGAGCCTTTATATTTTTCTCCTTTGCATTTTAATGTGTTGTTGGAAATTGTTGTGGGGCTGTATGTTAAACACCTGACAGAACTGCAGCAACTTTTGGGAAGACAGCAGCCAGTCATCTCTCTGCTGTGGAGGTCAAAGAAGGTGAACAGAGCCATCACTGGGTGTTGGATGCCTCTCTCTTGTCTTTCTTGGACTCTGTCTATCTGTTTGCTTTTGCAGCTGTGGTCTGAGCAACAGACTCATGGCAGAAAGCGTCCAGAGGGGGTCAGGGGATGGCCTCCACTTCCACCACGAGCAATGATGCCAACCTGACCTCTAGAGATGAGAGAAGCCTTTCCTGAGTGATTGGCACGAGTGAAGAGTCAGGACAGGTCCTCAAAGCCGTGGTGTCCCTTTCAGGGATGGGCAAATCAGCACAAAGTCAGGATTCACACAGCCTTGGGCAATTATGTGAACTGGGTGGAAAAAGCAGTCAAGGCTCAAAAGCTGCAGTTTATCTTAGAAGCAGCGTGTTCCTCAATTTATTCACTGACCCAGCACCACAAGACTAACAGTGCTGAAACAATAGGCTAAGAGCATGCAGAATGTTCCTGCACATGATGATCAAACAGGAAAACAAAGCAGGACCAGGAATGTTTCAGAGGGGGAGCTCTCCGTGCCTTTGTTGCAATTGTATCAGCCTGGAGAATCAGGAAGGGCTCCAAATCTGAGGATGCTTTTTCAAGCTATCTCTGGTCTTTACTGAAGAAGCAAACTCACCCCCAGTCTCTGCAGCTCAGGAGAGCTCCCTGAAGAGTGATGGGCTTTCAGGGAGCTTAGGAATGCAATGTGTCAACATGTTTGCTTTTCATCTTTATTCCAATGAGTATTTCCAAGCAGGGAATTTGCTACGCAATGGAGGTGCCTCATTGGCTCAGTTTCAGCCTTTAATTAGCTCTTCTTGAAACAATTGACAAGCCAGGTGGTGGAAACCACAAAAGGAAGAAGAGGCAGAAGAATAACTACTGGCATTTTAAAGGGTTTGTATCAAGGGTAAAACTGCCAGTGAGAAGCCCAGGCTGAGCCCTGGTCTCTGGAGATCCTTCTCCCCAGCCAAAAGCAATGTTCTTTATTGGTGTGATGGCAAGCATGAAAAAAAATCACTGTAGGCAGCAGCAATGCTTCCCATCCCACTCGGACACAATCAGTGCTGTGGAAAAGCTGCTGGTTGCTGGCAGTGTGTTTATTCTTTATTTCTCCCCCTCAGCCAAACCATTGGCTTAGATGAGAACACCTGGGGTTTTTTCAGGTAGAATCTAAAATGCTGGGCTGATCTTGGTGAATTGCTGGTCTCTGCATCATAAAATCATGATGGTGCTCTGGCTGTAGCCACAGCTGGTTCCAGCTGGGAGCTACTCTGAACATTCTCTGCAGTTCTCCAATGAAAAGCAGTAGATATCACCATGGATGTCACTAAAAATTTTCTTTAGCCTGCACTCTGATAATGTTTTACTTATGTTTTTTGTACCCAAAGATTTTTTCCAGGCCTTTCCAGCCTGCCATCAGTAATTGCTAATTGTAGATGAAAATTTTATTTTCTTTTTGTATGGTAGAGTGGCTGCAACCAGCCTAAAGGTGCAGATCAAATTGAAGAGAGGTATTTGGGTCCAAAGAGGAAAACTTGTTAGGAAAGGAAAGGTGACTTTTAAAAACAAAATATCACCAGGAGGAAGGTGTGAAATGGCAGAGAGGTGTGAGATGCCAAAGAGATTGAAAGGTGAGTGGGTTCAGTAGCCAGCAAAGCTCCCGACCTCCATCATCCTCAAAATACCTTGCAAAAAGCATCCACTTCAGGACAGAAGGGCTGTGTCTGGACAGAGAGACCCATCCACCATCCCAGCCACAAGCATAGCCACCTCAAGGTAATTTCTGGAGTGGCTGTGACAGTGAGGATCCAAGGAGAGGACAAGCAACGGTGACTTTGCTGCTGGGAAACTGCAAGGATGACATTTACCAGTGAGTTTACCACAAAAAGTGTTGTCTGTTTCTCAGGATGGAAGATGCTTTGGATTCTTGGAAGATAATTAAACCCACTTCTGCCTGCAATGCCAGGTCTGTGCATAAAAGCTGATCTAGCTCTGTGTCTGTGCCTGAATGGCATTACCCTGAAATTCAAGAAGCCACAAAACAGTACAAGCATCTGCAGCCAGATACAGAAAAGCAGAAGGTGCTTTGGATAGAGCAATAATCCTGGATCTCTGTTTTTGTCATAAGACAATAGCTCTTCAGTGCATGGTGAGGTTAGGTCCTTTAATGTACTTTTAATGTACTTTTTACAAAGAAAAACATGCATGAGGTGCTTTTTCTACTGCCTGGGCAAAGCCTGGCTTTTTGTGCAATCCACTCAATTCTCCACTTTGCCCTTTGATCCAGCTCCCTTGGGAATAATTTTTCTTTTTCCTTTGTTTCTTTCCATTTGTGGCATCTTTGTTCCAGTCCTAGAAGAACTAGAACCAGCCTTGACAGGCCACTGTTTTCAACCAGGTTGAAGTCTTCAGGGCTCAGGATGGTTCAGACCCTTCTCCTTTTTGTCTGCCTCACTATGGTCAATGTTTTTATTGGGATTTTCCATGCTGGTCATGCTCTGCCACCCATGTGTCCTTTGTTCTTGGCACTTGCAATCTCCATGATTTCCATGAGGATCCCAGAGGCCTTTTCCAACCTAATGGATTCTGTGATAACACTGCCAGTGATTTATGTCCTCAGCACCTTCAGCACAGTCCATGAATCATTCTTCAGCAGCATTTCACCCTCTTTTCTCTCATCACTGTGTGGTGTGTTGGGCTGATCATTTAATTCATCCAGCCTCTCTGTCTGCTGATCCAGGGAGTGTAAGATCACTGGGACCAGTCCCATATAATCTGAATTACCAAGTCTCTGGCAGGCTGTAGGAGGAATTTTGGCTTGGTGTGGGGAAGGAGTGATACCTGTGCTGCAACAGCAACTGCAGCTGCTGGGCTTTGAGTTATGGGATGCAGGTATGCCAGAGACTGGAGCTGCTTGGGGTCATTAATGTGACTTTCCTCTAGAATGACAAGTGGCAAATACCTGGATTTCCTGAGTTCTGCAGATACTGGTGACTTTCAGAGTTGCCTGTCAGAGTCATGGTGCTTCCAGTCCGAATTTTCTGCTGCCAAGGAGCAGGTACAGAGAACTAAATCTCAAGCAAATCATAGACAGAAGCAGTAGTTCCCATAATTTAGGTGTTCTGTTGTCAGTTCTTCCACAGAGAGGCTCGAAAACAAGAATATTTAGCCAAAAATACTATTATTTTCCAGTGTGTGTGTTGTTGAACAACTTGTCAGGCTGCACTATCTAGGGAACAGATTTATCTCTACACCACATTCTACAGCTTTTCCCTCAGGAGACCAGCACAAGGACATCTTTGTGCAGCAATTCAGTCTCCCTGGGCCTCAATGGGACCATAAGTGCAGGAATTGCTTTGCAAAATAGAGGTTTTAAATAGGACAAGTTTTCAAAGCAAATGTGGGGGTTCCTCCTGTTTATCCACTCTCTCCTTCTGTTCCAGGAGGATGTGGAATTGCTCACAGATGAAGGTGCAGGGTGAAGGCTGGGAGCTACTTTGCAGCTAACAGCAACAAGCACATTTTGCTTTGTTTGAGTGTCAAAACCTTGCCTGGAAAACTCATTTATAAAGCCCAGCAACCAGGCTGAACCATTTCTCTGACATCTCAGGGGCAGAACACATGGACAGCACATGCATGGGGTAGGCAGAGTGGGTGCTCTGGGTGCCCCAGCTCTGAGCAGGGTGAGGACTCCATGGACAGCTGGGAAAAGCCCCTGGATGAAGGTTCCCAAGCTTGAACATCCTGATCTGAGGTCCAGGGAGGCCCAAATTAGTGCTGGGGGGCTCTGGATCACACTGTTGGGAGCAGCAGCTCGCTGTCACCACCCACAGCACCCAGATTTACCTGACTTTACTCCATTTCACCTGTTTTCATATGGGTCCACTTTCCAAACTCTGGGGCAGGAAAGTTGTCCAGGTTGAAAATGTCATGTCACTGGTATTCATCTTATTCCTCTAATGAATAACATGGCTGATTAATACTAAGATAATCACAGTGCACTGCCAATCATGCTCTGTGAACAACAATCTGTTTTTCATTTCATTACTGATTTTTAATTATTTTATTGCCTCCTGTAGCTGTGTTAATAAGTAATCATACTTAAGCATATTTAAGTGTTTTAATAGGTGAAGCATCTTTAGCCCTTTAATTGCTTTTTGTCAGTTCTTTAGCAGGAAAAGTTCATCTGCTGTGCAGAGGGAACACCTTGACATAGCTCTAATGACTGCAGAATCAGACCCAGCTAATTGTTAAAGACCATCAAACACTGTGAATATGGTCCAAACAGTGGTTTAGTCTGGTCTGGAGCCTGAAGACATCTAGACCTTCTCCTAAAAAGTTAATTTCTGTGATTGCTGACATTATTATAAGGCTGCCTGGCTGTGGTGTTATTGGAGAGGGGTTTAAAGATTGCACAGAAGTCTGCTTGTAGTGTCCCTCTGAAAATCCCTGTGGAAAATTCATTTCCTAAGGTAACCAGGAATATCCATGGTGACTGTAGACACATTTAAAATGGAATGCAGCACTGAAAGCCAAAGCCCTCTCTCCTCCTAAAGTGCTTCCCTCATAGGAACGTGCATGACCGTGCCTAGCAACACTGGGAAATGCCTGGATGAGCCTCACCTTGTGTTTCAATTGCTTTGGAACAGAAAAAAACTCATCCAAAGGCACACCTTGTTCTGAGTTTAGAGAGCAGACTCCCACCATGAGGCACTGCTGGGTCTGGTGCTGGCTCCTGGTGCAGCAGGGAGCACCTGTGGGGTACCTGAGTGCAGATTTCATTCAGTGACCTTCTCCCTGTAGCCTTGGGTTGCTTTATAAAGCACAGTGCAGCTGGACTGGGTGCCTGGCAGCAGCAGGAAGATACCAGAGAGGGGCCAACCCCTGTCATGACCCCCTAGGTCCATCTTCCTGCCCACCCATCCTCATGAACACTGAACTGTGTGTCCCAGCATTCACCCTCATCCTTCAGTGCATCCCATCTGACACACAAGGGCCTCTTGTGCCACTGTCTCTGCAGTTTGTCCTCACTGCACACACATGCTGTCCCCCAGAGCCCTGTGGGAGGGATTCCCTCACCTCCCATGATTTTCAGCATTCCTTGGGTAGGAAGGCAGGAGGAAAGGCTTCCCTCTGCCCTGCAGTGCTGTGCTGAGCATTCCACAAATCCTGCTTGGTGTAAATGCCTCCCATCTGTTCTGTACCTGACCTGGGTGGGTCACGAGGTGCTCTAAAGGGTTCCAGAAACAATTTGAACATCATTGTGTTAAATCATAAGGTGCTCCTGTGAGGAACTCAGGGCATTGAAATATGGTGCAAAAATACTGCAATGCTGTTGCCCATACTCTTAATATGGCTTTTTGCCACCAAAAAAATAAAATCAAGCTGTAATCCTGTGTGCTGTGTCCTCCTCTCACCTGACCCAGGAAGCAGCCAGCCAAGCAGAAAATGCAGTTCTTCCCCAAGGATGAGCACATGGGGTGTCATTCCTTTTTGCATTCTCCTTTCACAAGGTGCATTCCTCCCTTCCTGGCCTCCTGCTCCTCACACCCTTCTCCACCTCCTCACCTGGACGAGCAGGTAAACTCAGAGGACAGAACATTCTCCGTGCCCTTCTCTGCCACTTCACCTCTGTTTGTTTGTTGTTTGTTTTTTCCTTTTCTCCCCTCCCACCTCCCCTAGAAAAAAGAGCCGGTGGCGCTGGCCAAGAAAACCAACAACACCTACAACATCGTTGGCACCACCTACGCCCTGAACATCTCCAAGGAGCCCGGCCTGCCCACCATCTCCAAGAGTGCAGCTGCCACAGCCACTGCCACCAGCGTGCCCCCCAAGCTGCCCCGCCTGGAGGAGAAGCTCCCCGAGAGCAAGAAGACCTACAACAGCGTCAGCAAGGTAGACAAGATGTCCCGCATCGTCTTCCCAGTGCTCTTTGCCATTTTCAACCTGGTCTACTGGGCCACCTATGTGAACCGGGAGTCAGCTATCAAGGGAATGATCCCCAAACAGTAAAACAGGTCACACAAACCTTCCATCTGTCAGCATCATCCCAGCAGGAATTCTCCAGGGCTTTCTTCTTTTCTTGTTTTGTTTAATTATTATTGTTCATTTGGTATTATGATTATGGTTATTATTATTATTATTATTATTATTATGTCACTCTTTTATAATGTAAACAAAACTGTGATTTTAATTTAATCCCATATATACTTTGGTTTCGTTTACTTTGATGATGAAAGCTAAAAAAAAAAAATAATAAGGGATCATAACAAGTTGTGCCTCTAACATCTTAAGTCTGCTGTCACCCATCTGACCAAGTCCCCCTGTGCTGCCATCTCTCCTCTGCCACCTCCTGTGGTCCCCATGGTCTTCATGCCTCTGCCATTCCATGCTGTCCCCAGGGGCTGCTCCTCCTGTGAGATGGGCTGCCCTGGCACGGGGGATGCTCCTGGACACCTGGCTGCAGGCTGTGTCACTCGCTCAGCCAGGCTCCTCGTCAGTGCCTGGCACTTCCTGCTGGCTCCTGCACCTGGGCTGTGAGTGCAGGTGAGCTGGTCACCTATGGGCACAGGGGAGCAGCCTGGCCTGGGCCAGCTGGGGCAATCCTACCACTGCTGTGGTCCCCAGAGCCTTTGGTGGCAGCCTCTTGTAGGGACTGCAGGTCTTCTTCCTCTCTGTCTTCACCAAACCCTGCTGGTTTTGTCTCTCCAGCCCAGAAAGGCCCTGTCTGGCTGGCATCCTGCACTCTTGGGGCAGTTTGTGTTAGCAGCAAGTGTGGTTCCCACCAGAGAAATCATTTTTCTCAGTTAGGAAGTGCAGGCAGAAGCTTTACAAAGCCTTGGAGGAGATGGCAGCTGTGGGGCTGCATGCACCCAGCATCAGGCCTGGCAACCACAGAGCTCCTGCTCAGGTGGATGGTCTGGCACTTTCTCTTATGGCCCCATCCACTCATCCTTCTTAGCAGATCCTCTGTCCCAGGCCTCCTTCCAGCCTCCCCTTCACCTTCCTGTGGTTGCCCAGCCGCCCTCCTTGGTGTCTCACACCTGGGTTTAGGCAGGGCAGCTCCCTCCCCTCGGCTCTGATGGGGAGGAGCCCAGCCTGGGGCAGCCCAGCCCATGGCAAATCCCTGCTCTGGTGCAGGATGTTCCCTGTGGGACCTGCCACAGGGATGAGCCAGGGGATGGGCCAAGGCTCTCCCTGCCCCTGGTGAGCTGGAGCACCCCCAGCCCCACGGGGAAACAGCAGGAGGGGCTCTTTGGAAGAGCAGGGTGACACTGCTGTCCCACAGAGCCACCTGAGCCAGCTGCCATCCCACAGAGCAGCTGAGGCAAGGCCCAGTCTAACCCTGCACCCTCCTGCAAGGAAAGCCCTCCAGTGCCTTGGAGAGAGGCTTTTTCTCCCTTCCTGACCACCACAGTGCACCCAAACCAGTGTTTGTCCCTTTCCCAGCAGCAGCACAAAGTGGGGCCAGCCAAGCCATCTGTCCATGGGCACACTGTCCATCCTGCAAGGGGGGACATCCTGTGCCTGGTGATTCCTTGGGGTGGCTCGGTCCTGCTGCCACAGAGGGGTGCACCCCCTCTTCCTTGGGCCTCCCTCTGCCCCCCAGAGCTGCCCCCAGTGTGTTTTGGGCTCATGCAGCCCAGCCAAGCCCCCAGCACCCCCAGGGTGATGCCTTCAGCATTGCTTTGAGCCCCTGTGCCAGGCTCAGCTTCCCCTGCCCCTGCAGGAGCAGGGCTGAGCACAAGGCACAGGCTTTTCCCCACCTGGAATATCCATGGGGGTGTCAGGATGGAGTGAGGAAGGCCAGGGCACTCTGTCCTGCAGTGGGTGGCACTGGTGCATGTCCTGCCTGTCCCTTACCAACCTCATGGCTCAGCAGCAGTGCAGTCACTCCCCCTGCCCACAGCTGAGATTTGCAGAGGAGTTTGGAGATGTTTAGCCCAGTTAAGGGTGTTGAGTCCACAAGCACATCCACGTGGCTGGCAACACTGGGGAGGAGGAACTAGAAACCCCCTCAAACTGCTGCTAAGGAAAGCAGCTCTGTCCACATCCTCTCTCACAGCTCCTGCACCCCAAGCCATGTCATTTCTACAGTGCCTTTCATCCCAGGGGCTCCCTGCTGGCTGGGAGGACCCAGGAGCTCTCCCACTGTCTGCAGCATCAGGCTGGGGGAGCAGAGGGCAGGGTGCAGCATCCCCAGCCCTTCTGCTGGGCAGGGAGGACATCCTGGCTCCTTTGGCACCTGGTTCTGCCTGCTGGGCCTGCAGCCACCCCACTGTGACCCCCCAGCTGCCCCATCCCTGCCTGGATGTGTCCCCAAGCCCCTCAACCCTCCAGGCACCCCCAACACTCCCCCAGCAGTGAGTTCCCTTCCTGCCACCCTTCTGCTCCCTGGGCTCTGCACTGGGAAGGGCTGCAGCTCCCTGGTTGGGAAACATTTTCTTAAATAAGCCAGATGAAAAGTGTCTCATGAAGCATTCGTGTCACTATAATCCTCAGGCCTAAGTGAATGGAATAGAAACTCTACAACAAGCAAAGCCAACACAATAAAATGGTCACAAAGAGAATGTTGTGTTTGCTAATGGAATTACAGCAAGTTTAAATGCTGCATCCAATGACTTAGCTGACTTAGCTGGCCCTGCTGCAGAGGTGGTTTCCTCTGGTAGCCTGGGAATGCCCCAAAATCCTTTTTCCCCAAGAGTCATGTCACTGTTTGTCAGTGCCTGCTTTGTACAGCTCTCCATAAATTGTCACAGAATCACAGAATTAATTAGGTTGGAAAGACCTTTAGGATCATCTAGTCCAACCTATGACCTAACACCTCCTCATCAACTAAACCATGGCACTGAGTGCCACATCCAGGCTTTTTTTAAATGTCCAGGGATGGTGGCTCCACCACCTCCCTGGGCAGATGATTCCAGTGCCCCATCACTCTTTCTGTGAAGAATTTCTTTCTAACATCTAACCTAAACTTCCCCTGGTGCAGCTTGAGGCTGTGTGCTCTGGTTGTGTCAGTGCTGCTGGAGGAAGAGCCCAGCCCCAGCTGAGCACAGGCACCTTTCAGGAGCTGTGAGAGTGATGGGGGCAGCCCTGAGTCTCCTTTGCTCCAGGCTGAGCACCCCCAGCTCCCTCAGGGGTTCCTCACTCACAGGGTTTGTGCTCCCAGCCCCTCTCCAGCCTCGTTGCCTCCTCTGGACACATTCAGGAATCTCCAAGTCCTTCCCAAGCTGAGGGGCCAGAGCTGGGCACATTCAGGTGTCAGCTCTTCCCATCAGCCCCAAGCACCCTGGGGCTGCCTTTGCTGCCTGCCCAGGGCTCAGTGCTGTGGGGTGATGCCCAGGAGAGGGGCTGGACACAGCACTGGGGCAGCTCCTGAGCCTCCTCCCTCCCTCCTTCCTGCAGTGACCCAACCCCTCTCTCTGAACTGTCAGGGTGAATTCCGGCTGTCCCTGCTCACAGGTGAATTCCAGCCTGTCCCCATTCACAGGTGAATTCCTGTCTGTCCCCTATTTACAGGTGAATTCCAGCCTGTCCCTGCTCACAGGTGAATTCCAGCCTGTCCCCATTCACAGGTGAATTCCAGCCTGTCCCTGCTCTCAGGTGAATTCCTGCCTGTCCATCCCCACAGGTGAATTCCTGTCTGTCCCTATTCACAGATGAATTCCTGCCTGTCCCAATTCACAGATGAATTCCTGTCTGTCCCCTATTCACAGGTGAATTCCAGCCTGTCCCTGCTCACAGGTGAATTCCTGCTGTCCCTATTCACAGTTGAATTCCTGTCTGTCCCCATTGACAGGTGAATTCCTGCCTGTCCCTGCTCACAGGTGAATTCCTGCCTGCCCATCCCCACAGATGAATTCCTGTCTGCCCCTATTAACAGGTGAATTCCTGCCTGTCCCCATTCACAGGTGAATTCCTGCCTGTCCCTGCTCTCAGGTGAATTCCTGTCTGTCCCCATTCAAAGGTGAATTCCTGTCTATCCCTATTCACAGATGAATTCCTGTCTGCCCCTATTAACAGGTGAATTCCTGCCTGTCCCCATTCACAGGTGAATTCCTGCCTGTCCCTGCTCTCAGGTGAATTCCTGCCTGTCCCCTATTTACAGGTGAATTCCTGCCTGTCCCCATTCACAGGTGAATTCCTGTCTGTCCCCATTCACAGGTGAATTCCAGCCTGTCCCTGCTCACAGGTGAATTCCTGCCTGTCCCTGCCCTCCTGTCCCTGCCCAGGACAGTGACACTGATGTGGCTTGCCCATGACACCCACCTGCTGGCCCTTCCCCAACCTGCCTTCCTGTGCCTGTGTGAGCAGCCTGGGAAGCCAAGTCTGTTCCCAACCAAAGGCTGGCATGGGCTCTGAGTGCCTTTGCCAGCTGGAAGCAGAAATACCAGCATCCTTTGGTTAAAGACAACAAACCAAAGAGGATTTCTAGTTTGGCTTCCAAGCAGGAAAGCATTTTGGGAAGATAGTTATAAATAAGTGGTTTAACATCTCCTGCCAGCAGACATCACAGAGAAGATAATGTTCTTTTTTTATAAAACTGTCAGTGACTCAAATTAGGACTTTTCCCTCCCAGTTAACACGAGGCTGTTGATGGGGGCTTCTTCTAAGTGCTTGCCAGGCCAGAACTAATCCAGCATCAATTACTGCAGTTTTAGGCTTGCTGTGATAGCATAGAAGGGTTCCATTTTTATAGCTGATCTGTATAGAAATTGATCTGTATAAGACCACTGATAATCTAGCCCACAGTTGTGCAGACAGTGGGCACTGTGAACCACAAGACTCCAGTATTTCTTTTCTTCTTGCAAGGCCCAAACTTCCCTGACTTGAAGAGACTCTCCCAGGCAGAGATTGGAAGTCTTTTAGGGTGCTAAAAACGAGCTGTTGGTCTGCACTCTTGTTTTGCAGCTCACACCACCTGGAGAACACACAGTGCAGTCCCAGCCTGCAGCTTCATTCCTGCTGGAAATGTCAGAGGGACATTTTGGCACTGGCAGCTCGCCCCTTCCCTCTTTTGAAACTGCACATGGGCAGAGAACTGAGCCTGGGGAGGCAGGGACAGCTCCTCTGGGGTCCCTCAGCAGGCAGGGACAGCAGATGTGGTCACTGAGAGCTCCACTTTGGTGGCAGCATGGAGAACACCCCTGTGGGGTGACAGGAGAGGCCTGGGCAGAGGTGGTCCCTCAGTGCCACTGTTCTCCT